TTGTTCATTCATTTTAGTGCTTTATATTTAATTTCGACAATACATAACTTTAACATCAGCCGTTTATTGGCTATCATCTGTAAGTGCGAGAAACAGGAACAGAAAAAAAAAAGTATAGGCAAATAATTTATTGTAATCAAAAAACTGTCAGTCCCCAACAGGAATGTTAAGGAGCAGGCGTTTCACCCCTTGTTGACTCTGGAATGCTGTAGAAAGTGAAAATTCAACATTGACACATTCCTTCAGTGCCACCTGGGATGCCACTGGCCTCGCAGCAATGGCTGCCATTCCCACGACCTCTCTGCTTACTTTATTTTGGTAACTTCACACATCCAAAACATGGCTATCGAACAAAGAGAGATCAGCGGTACTAATCCAAAAGAATAATATGAATTAGCTGGAAAAATTCACCGGGCTGAAACAGATCTGGGCAGTAAGAATGGATAGCCCCCGTCCACCCCTCCTCACTCTCAGAGGTCAAAGGGTGAAATTCCTCATCTTCCATCAGGCCTCCAGATTTCACACACTATAAGGGGGAGTGCTTGGATGGGTTAACAAGACCTGGTGAGATGGAGGGATTGTGGGAGGTGTTGGTCGAATGTCCTGCTGGTAGGGGGGTGGCATAAGAAAACAGGAAGTCTGGGACTACAAATATATGCACAGTGGTACTGCTGACATGTGTTTGCACAGAGCAGCTTGAGATGGGATCAGCCACAGTGTACGTACTGCAGACCCTTAGAAGGTATTGTGCAAAAGTGGCAATAAATGCACCACAGCAAATGCATTGCATTGCACATGCATGCTGGCTAAAAGCGTCATTAATGAGCTGCTGCCACATCTGAAGTTTCCATCGTCCAGCTAACAACGGCCATCTCTGCACTCTGAATGCTAATGCAAGCACGAACATTTTTCCGCTCTGCTTTTAGCTAAATGTGCAAGCCTGGCCATTTGAATAATGCATTGGCATGACGGAGTGGATGCACGTCAGGAATCAGTGTCATGGAGTGAGCTGCAGCATCTGACCCTCTCCACCAACTGAAAAACAAGAGATAAACCAAGCTGCGTTCTTGCATTGTGAAACATTTCAGAGTAGAGCAATGGAACACAACAGTTTCCATATGTTTTTACAACTCAAAAATGTTATAATATCTGACTGCCTGAAAACAGGTCAATGTATTTTAGCTTATAGAACTTTTTTTTTGTAATCAGTCTCACAAAATAAATCTAGACTATAGTAATTGAGTAATTGGCTTCATTTTCTCAAACTCATGTCATTTCAAATCTGTATGACTTTCATTTGTGGAACACAAAGAGGGATATTTTAAAGAATGTTGGAACTATTTTATCTCAAAGAATTACCGTCAGTAAAGATGCAGTCACATTAGTGATTTTTCAGTGAAAATCATGAACAAAAAAGCTTGATTGTCTATTGTTAAGAGCTTAGCAATGTAAAAACAGCTCACACAGAAGTAACTTTCAAACCAAGCAGCTTTCTGTTGGTCAGTGTAGAGAATTCACATGAGCAACTTGAAAATGGGTGAAATCTGCATGGGGAACTTTTTCTTCGTGTGAATCTCCTGATTGCACAGATTCCTATTGGAATGACTGGATTCCGTCTGCATAATTTCACCAAGCAACTGTAAATTTGATGCACCTTAAGGGTCCAAAACACCTTTAAACATTGTATAAAGTCATACAGGCTTGGAACAACTTTGGAGAGAGTAAATAATGACACAACGTTCTCTTTTAGGTAAACAATACCTTTAAACATGTTAAGCTAAAGATATCTAAAATCTACATCAACTAGTCAATTCTTTTCAACTCTAGTTGGTTGTTGCAAGAGATGCGAAACAAAGCAGTCTAAATAAGAAGGTATGTTATGGCATCCAGCAGCTCGTCTCTTACAATGCTGGCTGAAGTGACGGGTGTACAGTTAGGTGGAGAGGCAACTGTCTAGAGAAAACGGTGGGAAATGGAGTTGAAAGGCCTCTTTTATCTTCATCTAAATCAACTGTCAACAAACATAGCAGCACTGTGTCAAACAAACATGCAACGAGAAGATGCTAAGAGTGCAAACGAGACATGCATAAAAACAATAGCACAATGATTACTGTTATGCAGAACCCTGCTTTTAACTCCACTGAATGACTCTATATGTGGCCGTGGTTGGCTGATTCAAGATGAGCAGCAGGATCCTGATTCATGGACCAGCTGACGGCCACATCATCACCGCATGCATATTTCCCAAGCGCTAATGGTTAAAGCACAGATACAAACTTGTTCTGTCTTGCTTAACAGTTAGAGACACGCTGGCTTTCTCCGCCTAATGAGGTCAAGGGAAAATAGCGCACTTGAGAGTCTAATGATAAGATCATGTGACTTTGCTGACCAAAACCATCACTGTTTTTCTACTCATCTTTTTTCCAAAACATACAGCAGATGAAGGACATTGAGTTCACTGGATGCTATGACAAATTATAAAATAGGGAGAGTCGTTCCTAGAAGAACTCTCTGAACCTGCACAAGATGGAGCAAATCGAATTTTACAACGTCTACTGACCAATAAGTGTGACTAAGAGATGTGAAGTTGTTTCAAAGGGCACCAGTCAGAGAACATCAGGAAACGTCTTCAAGAAGGTGGACTCTCCGCTGCAATTAGGAACAATCACAACAGATTTTATCACGCTGCACTGCATAACATCAGCACACATCAAAGCACAGAGCTGCTCCCAGGATGATGGGGAACTGTAGGGGGAGGGTATGAGTTCACGTGCAGTATTTGAGGTGCCCCTGGGGAAACAGACCTCCAGCTCACTAGGTACAACCCCATGACCTCAAAGGAAGAGCACATTCCTGCAGCTATGCCCAATCAGGAAGTTTAACTCCCCATGCCAGCTCTCTCAGCGCAGCACCTAGACTGATGAAACAATGGCTGTCGAAGCCGATCCATCAGATATTGGCTAAAAAAAGAATACAGATATTTTGTTTTGAAAGTGTCTCAGATATATGCTGGTTGTGGGTCCATGGAAAACTACAGTTGTACTGCTAATTTTTTTGCACATTTTCCTAGTTGGTGCATACGTTTGAACAATGATTCTCAACTTTTTTGACTTGAAAGAAAATGTATATGTAGCATTCAACAGCCAATCTTTGGTCACTTTTGACATGGTTTCTTGAAGGGTTTCTTTTGCAAAAAAAATGGCTATTTACAAAATAGATTAATATTAAAATTGATGTAACTTTAAATGGTTATATATATTGTAGAGACTGAGACAACATTAGCACAGCTATGGAGGTAACATAGGTTTCCACAGTGGTTGTAGAGTGTTGCCATGGGGAACGGGCATTATTCAGAAATATGTGTGTTGAATGCTGCGACTGACCAATCAGAAACAAGCATTCCAGAGCGTTGCATAATGCAAGCAGAAAATGCTGCAACCCAACGTTTTATTTATAGATTTGATTTATGGCTCTTACAGAAAAAAAAAATTCGCTGTTCTTTTTTGACAATATTGAAACAAATTTCAGCTTTGTGTGCAATTGAAAAAAAATGGCTCACAAGTATAAAGAAATAAAATGCAGGATTGCAGTAACAGGACCTAAAGCAAGCAGGTCAGAACAAATTATCACTCCATGGGAAATATTGGGAAAATTCCTCTACGCTGAAAAACAGAAAAGAAAAACTGAGAAATGACATGCATATAGAATATTGTACCAGTATTTAATTGTTTTATATAGCTTATTTTAAAACATCTTGTGGCATCCTCGGACGTTCACCTATTGGCCCCAGTCCCTGGTTGAGAAAGTTTGTAGACATAAGACGATAAGGAGCTGAGGAATGCAACATCTTATTTTTCTGCAGCTATTTTTTAATAAAACATTGATTCTTTTTTTCTGCCCCAGTGCAATAATTTACATTTTTAGAAAAAGTTATGAAATCCCTCACTCAGCTGGAGAACTTAAACCTGACGTCATTTTCTGCAGATCACATTTCTCCTCTCACAGATCCTGTGCTTCTTTCTCTCCAATAAGACCTCTGGATCCAGGAAAGAGCACAACTCGTATGGCACAAACCATCTTAAAGCGTTATTTCGGTGACCAACAACATCATCCAAGCGACCTTTAAAAGTCTTTTTCCAGAGATGCTAATTGCGCTTTAATTCCCAGCACGAAGGTGCAATCAGTACTTTCTGACGTTTGGAAAACGATGCACGGCGTTGCATTAAACCAAAACAATAAAAAGAAAGAAAAACAAACAAGTATCAAGTCGAGATACTTTCTGCACAATATATTACAGAACAATGACAGCAGCACATAATGTTTTCCTCCATAAAAAAGATACAGCTGTAGAAGAATAGGCTGTCTGGAATACTAGGGCATGATGGAGTTGACCACCTTCACATCATCATTCCCGAAATCTTTGCCAAATATTATTCGACATCATTCCAGCAACTGTCTGTTTTGGAATATTATATTCGCCAAGGAAAGACACCAGGAAAAGACTCAGCATCCCAAATAAATTTCACGTAAACAATTTGATACCAAGACTCATGGCTTTAACAAAATACGTTTCTAATAAAGCTAAAGTGTAGCGTTTTTATAAAACGGTATCGTTTACGTAACAGAACGCGCTACATAGAACATCACAAACTCCCCAAAATTCCAAAGTTGGAATTCAGCGACGCAGACGTCAAACTATGTATTTTCTCGTAAACTGTGCCTGTCGTTAGAAAGTCGCTTTTTTGAGCATCTCTGGGCAAATAACGGTTTCTAAAAAGAATCCGTGCAAAACAGTCAGTTTTCCAGCGGAGCAATTCAGTTTTCCGTCTCTTCTCCTGGTTACCCAACTAACCCAGACTCCCGGCGTCACCGCCATCCAGACACAAAAATGCACGCAACTTTCCGTTAGGAACATATTTCATCGTTTAATTGGGAAAAAGCACACAAACGCGAACTGTGGCAAAAGATAGCGCTTAAGAAAAGCGATAAGAAAAACTCACCTCGCTGCAATAAAATGATCTTGAAAGAAACTCCACAGCTCCACTTTCACCCCAGACACAACTTTGCTATCCCTGCTCCAGTCTGCTCCACCAGCGCTCACTCAGGGGGAGATTCCGCGGCCATGTCAATTATGTCCCACAGCACATGTGAGCTTGATCCTGCCCCTTTTACCGTAAGCAACCATATAAACGAACTTCACAGAAGAGCCGAAGAGAACAATTCAAAAGATACCACCACCAGACACACGCACAGACACAACTTTTACTATACACCACAACAGCAGTAATAAACTCACTTTTACAAAGATGTATTCATGCTGGGTTCAATGGTTCTAATCAGATTAAAGGTTGTTTTTATGGATTTTTACAAGATTGTATAGACTGATTATCAGATAATGGCAAAAAAACAGTTCATTTTCTGTTTTTAATACAACTAGTGATTTAATTTTTTTTTTTAAAGAAACACTTAATGTAAGGCTCTTTGTTGTCAATACTATTTTTTATTTGTGTGATATTGTTACTGATTATTTATGTATCTATGTATTTATTTATTGTAATTTGTAAACAGAAATAATCTGTCCCACGCTGAGTATCCTTGGTTTTTGCTGTCTCCTGTGGTTTGATGTTTGGTAACACTTTACAGTAAGGATCCATTTATTAATATTAGTTAACTATTTATATAATTTGTTAACATGAACAATGAAAAATATTTTACTTCTTAATCTTAGTTCATGTTAATTTACTAAAACTTTATTCAAATCAAAAGTTCTGTCTGTTACTATTATTTAATGGACCTGAGCTAACATTAAGTAACAATGAACAGTTGTATTTTTATTAACGAACGTTAACAAATATTAACCTAATAAACACTGTAAAAATGATTTGCTCTTTGTTAGTTACTGTCAGTTAATGCATTAACTAAAGTGTTACTAATGTTTTTATAATGGTCAAGCTGGTACTGACCACACAATCCAAAACACAGTACTGTAACCTCTATTAAGACAGAGATTCCCCCCAATATTCAGATACAGTAGATGATCAAAATGTTTACCAATGATTGAGTCTTTACATTTTACCGTTAGACTCCCTAAATTGTTACAACCTTGCAGTTCTCCTGGATGTCATTATATTATGGGACACTGTTTGCTGCACCATCCTGAGTTGGGATGGTTTTGCAGGTTTGCAGGCTTGTCTGCGTGCTTGCAAGTCTGTCATCGAGACAAATTTAGAAAATTAGATGGATCATTAAACTGTCATTCAAGTATGCAAGCTATTATAAGTCCACTGCATGTCCGTGACTCATGGCATAATCATGTAGGTAGGTATGTAGGTTTTAAAATCTCAAAATCAGAGGAGCACAGCTGAACAAACTCAATGCACCTTGTCCTACATTTCACTTCTCTGACAGTGGCAGGCAGGTCACACGGTGCAAATGTGTCTGCTACCACCAGCAGGACAGTTGAAGGAAGAGCAGGAGAGCGCTGAGGAACACAACTACTGTTAATGTAGCGTGTTTAGAGCTGCTTTTTATTAATTGAATTCAATTTACTGACCCAAAACTTTTAAACAGTATTGTATTAAAAAGTGTCAGAGTTTCAGAGGTGGACAAAGTACACAACTCCATTGCTTGAGTGAAAGTACCGATATTGCTGGTCAGATTTCACTCCATTACAAGTGAAAGTTGTAAAGACAGAAGTACTTGCTTTTAAAAGTACTTAAGTACCAAAATAAAAGTTATTTTTCTATGTCAATGCACTGTTTTATTATTGTTGTATGTAATACTTACAATATCTGAAGCAACTTACTAAATACACTGACTAGCTTGTAGTATCTTTGGAGTAAAGAGCTTTTAGAATGTTAAAAACCTATAGAAATGAAACAAGTGAGTTGACCAAAAAATGTGTTATTTAACACCCCACAAAAGCAGGATAGTAGTGATCTCACACAGCAGTGTGTGCACACGTGTAGCCATTCATCCACATTTGAACCGAGTGGATAGTGAAATTGCTGTAAATACAGACTGATAAGAGAAAAAAAATCAAACCTGCTTTAAAACCCAGCAACACAACTCTAGCTGTAAACTTTACAGCAACACTGCTTTAACAAAAAAGCTAAACAGAGAGATTTGTTTGACATCAGCGCTCTCGCGGTATTGTGATGCCACACACAGAACGGTCTGTGCAGTGCTGCTTCAAGTCAAACACCTTTTGTGTTTTATTAGGAGATGCACAACAGTTCTTCTGTGGCTTTATAGGTAACATTTTCATTTACACAATTTTGCTAAATCAAACAATATTGTGTCTAATATATACCACAATATTAACTTCTTACTATTGAATTGTTGTAAATAAATAGCCTATCACATTTGCAACTGGTCAGTGTTCACAAAATGCTGGGAAACCACTTCACATAACCCTGCTACAAAAAAGATTACTTATAGGCTGTCTAAAAAAAGGCACGTTTTAGAGAAGAAAAAAATCACCACTGACTTTCAAAGCTGCTACATAGTAACAACTTTCTACTTCTAGGATCTTGATAGAAATGTAGTGGAGTGAAATTCGATAATTGTTCAAATTGATAAAAGTTTTCTGAAAAAAATAATACTCAAGTAAAGTACAGATACTCAAAAAGTGTACTTAAATACTGTAATCAAGCTAATGTACTTCATTACTGTCTACCTCTGCAGAGGTTTGGCTTCTCTTAAATGAATAGGTCACGCAAGTGAAAGTTTCTTTCTTATTTTGAACACAAAAGAAAATGTTTTGAAGAACCAAGCAGTTGTTGGTCCCCATTGACTTTAGTAGGGAAAGAAATACTGTGGAAATCAATGGGGACCATCAACTGTTTGATTACCAACATTCTTCAAATTATCTTCTTTTATGTTCAACATAAGAAATTCATACAGGTTTGGAATGACATGAGGGTGAGTAAATGATGACAAAATTGTCCTTTTTGGGTGAACTATTCCTTTAACATTAAAACAGTCACATACAATGACATAATTTTAAATTATTTATGTGAGATTTCTTTATAAGTGAAATAACCTCACTACAAAATCCTTTGTATCAAGCCCAGGGCTTTCAAATGTCTGATAAGTGGAAAATGACTGGAGAGAGTGATTTCATACTATAGGCATTTTTAACTGACACTAGCCAGCAGCTTCCATGCATGGTATTTTTCTCGAATTGCGGTCTGTGTCTTATAAATCAACACTCACGTTTAAGTTTAGCACTCATTTAAAGGATATTTCACCTAAAAAAAAAAAAAAGCTGTTATCATTTACTAAACTCCATGTCATTCCAAACCTGACTGACTTCATCTGTGGATCATAAAGGATCATTAAACTTCAGAAAGGACACAAACACAACGAAGTGTCATAAAAGTCCATGACTCTTCAGATTCTTCATATGATTTTGCAGCTTTAATGAAACCGTATGTCTTTGTGTGAGAAACAATCATTTCGAAAAATCGAAATCGAAAGATTTCTATGTAGTCACTTTTTTTTGTGACCTACTCTATTTTTTAAATATTAAAGTGATAGTTCACCCAAAAATGAAAATTCTGTCATTAATTACTCACCATCATGTTGTTCCAAATCCATAAGATCTTTCTTCATTTCCGGAACACAAATTAAGATATTTTTGATGAAATCCGAGAGCTTTCTGACCCTGCATAGACACCAATGCAACTCGAGGCCCAGAAAGGCAGTAAGGACATTGTTAAAATAGTCCATGTGGCATCAGTGCTTCAACCGTAAATTTATGAAGCGACGAGAATACTTTTTGTGCGCAAAGAAAACAAAAGTAACTTCATTCAACAATTTCTTCTTTTTCCTGTCAGTCTACGCGCGTTCAGTGTTGTTTATGCAGCAAAAAAACTGTCAACATTTTATCTCTTAAGGGCCTATTTATACCCTTTATGAATATTTCCTCAATCTACCTCACAGATGTGGTATAGGGTTTACCATATAAATGAATTGCTTTAAGCCTGAATGATATTTTTTTTTTAATTATTATTAGCAAACAAGTCAGAATGAAAACAATGTAACATATCAATTCAACATCATCCAGCCCTCCCTCCCCCCTCCCTCTTCAACCCTGCGGTCTCTTTACAATGGGGAGCACACTGAATACATAATAGAGTTAACAGAAAAAGTCACAGGGATCATGAAATATGAATTTCCGTGGAAAAAAACCCACAAAAAAACCCCCGCATCATTCTAAGTCCAAGTCATTGTTCTGTGTAATATATTTGGAGATCTTCTAAGCAGCTATAGTCCAGGTCTGTAATGTAGAAAGTTGTGCCATATTCACCCGAGCCGTGGATATTTCTTACATAATAATGTCTTGAAGTTGCATTAGCCACTTGGACATATCCAAAGTATGTGGAGGGAGCCAGTGTTGTGCTAACAATTTTTTGGCAGATGTCAACCCGGCAAGCAAAATCATTTTTTGCAACTTAGAAAAACTCGACGCAGAATTGTCATTCAATAGTAATACAGCAGGGTTCACCGGTATAGGGTACTCAATCATTTTTGATAAGGTAGTACATACTGCATTCCAAAACACTATGTCTTTAATAGTGTTTAGTTTTCCAAAACACTATGTCTTTAATAGTGTGAAAAGGTCTTTTTTTGACCTTTTCACATTCCCACATCATGTGGAAAAAGGTTCCAAGTTGTTGATCAGAACAGTTATTGCAGAAGGGGCTGAATGAAGAGTCCTGAATGATCATTTGAAATCATATTGATGAAAGAGCAGAGGTCAAGCACACTTAAAAAAGTGCCCCAATCTTTCCTTTACAAAGTTAAAGACATAGTGTTGTGCAAATATGGATCATGACTCAAAATGCAGAGTCCAGGTGTTCTTCTGTGACAGTGTGAAGTACTGCTGGTGTTGTAGAGGCTGAACGGTCAGGGGATTTCCTGGAGATGGAGATCTGGAGTAAATAAGGCAGTAATCATCTTCGAACGGATATGCGCTTCTCTTAATCACAGACAGCTTCTGGCTGATACAGAATAGGGTGTTCCCTCCTGTTGAAGTTCCCTAGTGTCAGAGGTGTCCGTCTGGAACAAGAAGAGCTGTGTGCGCACTGATTCTCCCTTCAAAGCACTTTCAAGGGTGTGGAGCACATCCCTCTCATTCTCTGCCTTCTTCAGTTCAGGTCCAGTGTTG